CCCCCCCCCCTTGCCCCCCCTGGCGCCGCCACTGAAAATTCATGAATTTTGAGATCCATGCATGCAGGCCACTGTGAATTATTTTCAATTACAGTTTTCCACCTAATTCCAAACGGTGGGACGTTGTAATACGTTTGAAATTGGGATGGCGGGTGGAGGGGGGGTGGGGGGGAGGGAGAAAGAGTATACATTCGCTATATCTATATAGCTATCAATGTGAAAGTATGAAAGCGCTATATCTATATAGCTATCAATGTGAGTTTCTTCCGAGAGTATATTGCTTTCCTATAGCACGAGAATGGCTCTTATCGAAGCAAAATTCAGCCAGTATCGATTTCCAGAAAGAGAGTGTTCATTTCTACAAGCTTAAAGCCCTGGGAAAACTAGGAAACATTGTTGCGGAAACATTGTTTCCTATATGTTTCGCCACGTTTCCAAGAGTGGGCAAACACTAACATTAGTGAGAAACATAGGGAAACATCAAAGGTTTCTGATTTTCTCTAGGAAACATTTTTGCTTCCACGGGTAACAGGGAAACATTTGAGGAAACATCGAAAATCACAAATGTTTCCACGACAATGTTTCCTAGTTTGCCCAGAGCTTAAGACAGATGGAAGGTCGTTCATTCTTTAAAACTTCAATCAGTTCAAGTTCGTCGTTTTTCAATGTGCTATATCTATGCCCCGTGTCAAAGTAGACTCAAACAAGGATGAGAGTTGATGAGAGTTGGCAATCACGCATTGATATGGGGGGATTTTAAGCTCTAGATTAACAATTGATATAAACGTTTGATGAGACAGATGAGTGCTCCAGCTATATGTTTTCAGAAGTCGCATGTGACTGCCGAATCCTCCTGCACTCAAATCCTCGTGAATTTAATCTGGACTTAAAACACCGGGATATATAGTCATCGCAGAATCGCTTCCATGATTTTATGAGACCAAATACGCTCCAAGTTTGACTACATTCGGCAACGCTGTCGCTGATCCAGTGCAACGCATGCTCGGTTTTAAATCTCTGACGCGCAAAGCATTAATTAATTTCTACGTCAACAAAGAATCGCTCACTTGTCGAAATTCATTTTCGATAGGTTCACAGCGAAAATTTAATTCGTTGCATTTAGTTATCTAAAGTGCAGTTAAATTGTTGTTCAACATTTTGTATTGGAATATTGAATAAATATGTAAGTATATTAAAAGATTTTTTCATAATATTTGATGCTAGCTAAATTGCAAGATAATGTGTTTTAAACTTTTCTCATACGTATTTGTTCCGTTCTTTCTCAAAATGTTAGAATATTTAAATTATAAACAACGAAACATTTCTCCAAGAATAAGCTCCCAAGCCCGGAAACAACGAGATCTAAGATTTGATCATGGGTTGAATAAATAAATAAATAAATAAATACGTTAATAAATAAGCGACGCAAAAACTAGCGCGAAACTTATAAGAAACTAAAGGTCAATGAAAAGTATAAGCGTACGCGCAAATTTCAGTTTAATTAACTTGCGCGTCATCTTGTAGATTTGACGTACAGTAGTAGGCCGACGTATGCATGACGCATTAATTAGTTTTAGAATTCATGAACCATTTGCTTAAAAGGCGTTTAACTTTAGCAGTTATCTGGTGTAAAAATTCCGAATCAGGCAGTTAGCTAATCGGTCGATAAAATTGCACCCACCCGGTTAGACTCACTAACTAGACTAAACTAGACTAAACTAAACTAGACTAACTAACCGTGTACGATAACCTTTAATTTTTACCCGGAGAAAACCTCTATACGTCAGCTGTTAGCTGTAAACTGGATTCGTATAAATTTCGCTAGAAGTAGGTAGCAGTGACAACCAAGACATGCGGCATTGAGAGAGATAGAACTACCTGAAAAATAGAAGCACAACTTCGACGTTCCAATCGAAGTCGTCGGGAAGTTATTTAAGTAAGACAGAGTTGGACCAAGGACGCGGACGTCAAAGACGACGTGAAAATGGCGTGTTGTGCCCACGTATGGATATATCACGCCCATACCACGCCACTTCGACGCCATTTTCACGTCGTCTTTGATGACCGCGTCGTCGATCTAAATCTGTCTGTTAACTTCCCGCGACGAAGGGTGTTCGCTCGAAACTTCGATATTGTGTTTGTATTTCTCAGGTAGTTGTATCCCTCTCGATCCACAGATGTAATTATAAGCAAGAGGGCTGCTTTCGATTGCTTAAGATGGTTTTGATTTCCTACAGACAAACTGAGATATGCATATAACCATAATGTAAATTTTCAAGCCAATTTTTTGCGATATAGCTAGGATTTGGGTGTTAGTACGTAAGCCGGTGGATGACAAATTTCTCTCTCCGAAACAGGGGGCTCATTAGAGGAGGGCTTTATAAGATAACCAGTATTCAACTGGTTTCCCGTACAATAGTCAGGAAACTCGAACCGTCGTTCCCCTACTCCATGCACTGCTAGATATCTACATTTAAAAAACAACTTGTTTTATCTTATATTTATGCTCAAAATCCGGTCCTGTTTAGGATGGATATTTATTTTACTTCATGCCTTCCCTCTTGTAAGATGTATCTAGTTTGTTAAAGCTCCGTGTGTGTTTTTGTGGTAAAACGTTTAATTTCTTCTTTAATTCTTACAGGAATCTATATTCTGGGAGATCTCAGATCTCTAACAAGGTGAGAACAGGATTTGATTTTCAATTTTTGCTTCGATATTGAACTGATTCTGTTTGAACAAAGTGGTATAACCTGAATTTTTTTCACAGGATAGAAAATTGTCTTCGACTTCTTGGATATCTGATGACGACGAGTTTGAAGAATTCCTAAGGTAAATGGATATCTTTTATTACGCTTTAAAGCCATCATCTTCTCGCTTGTAAGGGCTGTATTTTTTAATTGCTTGTGTCTTTTTGTTGTAAGTCATTTTATTTCTTCTTAATTCGAACAGGAATCTACATCATGAGGTACCTAATAGCCATCATAAGGTGAGAACAAGATCTGATCACTTTCTATTTTCGCGTCGCTATTGAATTATTTCTTTTTTTAATCCAGCTTGAAAATGGACAAAGAGATTTAACTTGAATAAACAATTGTTTTAGCTTTGGTTATGTGATGACGACGAGTTTGAAAAATTCCTGGGGTTATCTCATGATGACGAGTTGGTAAAATCGCCGAGGTAAGATTTTTATCGGGCCAGCTATGCATATCTATATAGACTCTGTGTTACTTTAGCCTTACTTACGGGAGATTAATTATACCGTGCTAATTAAACCAAATTACTTGATATCTAGTTGATATAGACATTTTTGGAAGACTAATGTACTAATTTCTCCTCAGGCTTCTTTATCACCCTTTTATTTGTAAATGCATTCTCCTTTTCATTGCTAAATTTAATTGCTTTTGTGTGCTTTAACCCCCTTGAACTTCGGGAAACTAAAATTCGTAGTTCTGGAGAAAGCTGGTGTGGGTATGTCCACGCAGTCTACGTCGTGGCGTCGCCGCTGAACATTTAAATTCTTCTTCGCATTATCTAGAGGTTTGTCGAACTCAGTGGGTATTAGGTTCGCTATACATGTTATGGTCGCCAGGTTCGAACTAGCCTGCCGTGTTTATCTGAAAAAGTAGAGCCTATATGAGTAACTTACAATAGTTTTATCTGATGTTTTAAAAACTCTTTTTGTAGTAGTGGCAGTGTCCGTCATTCACGAGAATTTGAAATTGTCCGTCGTTCTTTTCAATTCAGTAAAGTTCCGAACAATTTTGAGGTGAGAGAAAAGTGCCCAATTTTTCTATTAAGCTATAACAAAAAGGCTAATGACAGGAGAAGTAGCGAAACATAATATACGCGACATAATTTAGTGTAATTTATTTTCTTTTCCAGTCTCAACAGTCTATTCAAACTGGCTCCCCCGGAGAATGGTAAGATTTAAAACCATAAAATTTGCGCAACCACGCAAACATTCCACTAACATTAGCATTAACGTTTCCATATTTATGACGTACGAAAAAAGAAGACAATAATACTCAATATATGGCAAGGCGATTCGTTAGCAGAATGCAAATGCAAAGCAAAATGCGGCTGATTATCAGGGTTGTAGCCACCGATTTATAAGCGGTCTGGTTAGATTCGCGTACCGAAATTGATTACACTAATAATGATGATATTCGTCCAAAGAAAATATCTTAATCATAACCATTTTGACCTCCCAAGATAAAACTTTACCTATAATATTGGCGCAAAGCCGGCCTAAATTAAGGCCCAGTCACACTACTGACAACGAAAACGATACGATAACTTGTAAACATGCACGCGATGATTGGCAAAAAAATTATGTTGGTGTTCACACTACAACGAAAATGATAAATTTATCGTTTGACGATAATGACAACGATTTTAACTAAAATCGCTCGCCCTAGCGAATTTCTTTTAGACGGACGATAACGACAAATTTTTGACAAATCAACGCGCGTATACAGCTATTTCAATTAATGTTGTCCCCCGAGCAAAGCGGAAAAGTCGAATACGAGCGCGAAAGGCTGTTGCGGGGAATCGCTAATAAATTTATTCATAATTTATTAGCGATTCCCAGCAGCATTTCGCGCTTGTACTTTAATTATTCAATAAATAAAAATACTTAAATGATTTCGTGCGTAAAACAAGATCAACCGTCGCACCAAAAACGTATGAAGATATTTAAATTAAAGTTATATAGGTGAGAGGATTGAAAATTAGAGAATCGTGCGGCATATAATCCTGCGCAATAACTTAAAATATTAAGACCGAATATGTGGACTTTGCACGACATGATTTTGGACGGCAAAAATGCTGCAAAAAATTGCTTCACAATTGGTTTTGTTCAGGTTGGATGATTGGTTGGGGACTTGAGCAATCTGGTATAGAGAAACTGAGAAAGCTCACGCTTTGTAAACAAGACTCGCACGACTTAATCTATTCTCAGACGCTGAAGGCCCCTAGCTAGTTTAAATTCACTAAAAAGAATATTTAATTGATCATGCATATAATTATAGTGTTGGTAGTTTTGTTCACTTTGCCTTCTTGGCAGCCATCGATCAAGAATCTTGATATTGCTGTCTTATACTCTCATTGTATATGATTGGGAGCTATAGTCCCCCTATAGCCCCCAGATTTACAACCCCTATAGGTATAAGCAACATCGCTAGCTAAATTGTTGAAGATGCAGTTTATATAGTCCGTTCTGTGTGATGTGCACTTCGGTTGCTCTATGTTCTTGCAATGCCTGATCTATTTCACTCTGAAAGCTGGGAACATAATGCTATCACCATGCATGTATTTCGTTGCTGAAGTTCACTGACATTTGTGGGCGAACTTCACCTCATCTTTTAATGCGAATACTGTGACCGTGTTACTGCAGGGCTAAATAGAGCAATTCAAGGGGGCTCCCTGCAGTAGCATGTCGGATGATCGCAGGACGAATGTAAAAAACGCGTGGCGAGTGCGTGAACTATCCCAGGAAAACTCTGCGATTTTTAAAAAATCTTTTGTGTAAAAATTTTGTAATAAAATTTTGCAAATAAATTTTAATTAAACTCTTACAATAGCTTGCAGAACATCATGCTCTGTTGCTATATATATGAAATAAAAGATAAGTCACCGACTTCGCTTTTGAGATGCACACAATTTTATGGCTAGAATAAGCAGGCTTTATATAGTTTATACTTTCACCATGCGCACGCTGCCAATGGCAACAGTGACATTGTCCAAACCGATCGAGTTCTATAATATTCCACTGATGTCAGATATTGCATTAAAGTGGAAAACATTGCAAGATCTGCATTGATAGGCCTGTACAGCACAGATTTTGTTGAGGTGGGCACCACTTCAGGGAGCCTTCATTACTGATACGTTTGCCCAGTTTTTCTCTATCATTTACCAACAGCATATTACAGTTCCCGGCATGCAGTTTATAAGAGAAAGTAATTTCCGTTGTTTTGTATAGCCGTTCCCGATCCATGCGATCTGATTATTGTGTTTCATCTCAAGAATGCAAGCAGAAGTGCGGTAATCTGGTGAGGAGTTTTCTTATGAGCAAACGTGTGCATTGGTGTGGATATAGATATATTAAAATAAACTCCATTGCTTTGACGTTTCTTTGACATATTAGAACCTATCTTTGTAGGTGGAATCTCTGTTATCCATCGGGAGTGTTACTTTGGAGGAGAGGTGAGAAATACTACTTTTCAATGTGATAAACACAGACACATGGAGATGTACAAGTTCAATGTATATGCATTAAAGTGCTGGCTATGATTCCCAGTTCTTAGCAGGTTTGTTCAATTTGTATGCCTGTAGCTCAAAAACATTTTATTTTCTGCTACATTACAGAAGTCGTCAGTCTTCCTCCAATTACCCAAGTCAAGCCTCTCAGACATCTGAACGTAAGGTAAGAAATGATATACAGAGTCGCTGTGGTCATTTAAAACAATGAAAGTATTTAGGAGCGACAACAGATTCCATGTAGAAAGTGTGGGGGGGGGGGGGACGAAGTCGGTCAGTTGACGCGATTTATTTAGTACATTATTTATTTAGTACATTATCACTGTCCAGAAAATGAAAAGCACCTGTTCGGCCGTCTCCTCTTCATTCACGCCCTTGACCTGATGAAATTGCGTACAGTTGAAAGCCAAATGGAGAAAAAGGCCATCCAATTACGATCCAATAAATAAATCGGAATGCTCCGTAATCTTGTGATAGATTTGGAAATCCTACTGTTCTCCATGATCTCTATTGACTCAATTTTAGTCTTTATTCAAAGAACCTAAATGGAAGTAACCAGACACAGATCCTTAAATGCACGATCTGAACTATACGCAAATTGTTAGTTTCTTTATGTTCCGCACACCAGATCATGCAATGCACGAATGATTCAGGATAAAACATTTTTTGTTTATAGACTCATTCTCATACCAGTGCAATTCCGAAGGATAGCACTCATAAAAGATGAGGAATTAAACGGAATTAAATAATTATTTAAGCTACGCAATTCACGCGACTCCATGTCGCAATCCACATATAGTTGAAGTTTAACTCTTGCTGTGAAAAGTTTATACACATATATTTATTTAGACGATATTCCATGAACAATAGAGGTCTCCTAGTGCATACATGTATTGCGATTTCCCTTATTCAATTTAAGATAACCCGTATTCAAATTGGTTTTCCGCGTGCAACTGTCAAACCCAATACTCCATTAGAAGAGAGATTACGTTATTTTAAATATCTTTATCCGGTCGATATTCTTATATGTATGCTCAATTATCCGTAATCCGTTCCGTCTGGATGGATATTTATTTCACTTTGTCGCACATTTTCTCGCTTGTGAGATGTATCTCTTTAAGTCCCGTGTATGTTTTTGTTGAGAGACTTTTTATTTCTTATTAAATCTTACAGGAATCTTTCTCAGAATTCTCAGAGCTCTAACAAGGTAAGAACGAGATCTGATTTTCTATACTTGTTTCGATATTGCATGAACTTTAATTTTTTGTTTTAAAAATGAACGCAGTGGTATATAACTTTAATGAATAATTGTTTTATTCTTTACAGGATAGAACCTTCTCTTTGAGGTCTTGGATATCTGATGACGACGAGTATGAAGAATTCATGAGGTAGCTATGGATATCCTTTATTTCACTGTATATAGCGCACATCTTAATTGTTGCTTATTATAAGGTGAATCTTTTTTTGTTCCTTGTGTCTTTTTGTTGTAAGTCCTTTTATTTCTTTTTAATTCTCACAGGAATCTACATCCTGATATACCTAAGGGCCTTCATAAGGTGAGAACAAGATTTTCTATTATCGCGTCGCTATTGAATTATTTCCTTTAATTATATAAGTCCAGCTGGAAAATGGAGAAAAATATTTAACTGGAATAAACCATTGTTTTAGCTTTGGTTATTGGATGACGACGAGTTTGAAAAATTCCTGGAGTTATCTGATCACGAGTTGGTAAAATCGCGGCCGAGGTAAAATGTTTATCCGGCTCGCTATGCATATATTAATTTGTGTTACCTTTCGGGAAATTACCGGCATGCTTGTCTATATAATTAAACCCAATTACTTGACATCTAGGATCGTAGGGTGTGTTCCAGCCACCGATAATCGTTTCAGCGCAATATTTTGAAAAATTGAATGTTCCGAAATGTCACGTCCTGCACTCCTGTACCGTATTGAAGATTTTGGACGCCAAAAATGTTACGAGCGTTTCCGCCTGTGGCGTATGCAATTATCGCTATAGTCAGTGAAGTTTTTATATATACCAGGGAATTACACGAGCCATTTTTGCAACCAATCAATCAACTTTATTTGTAAACTGTAACCAATTTTGCAACCAATCAATCAACTTTATTTGTAAACTTTGTTTACATTTTACTCCGCATTACCCATTATTTTCGTCAGTGACCTTTCTTAAAATTTTGACCACATAATTTAATTTTGGTGAATTTTATATGTTTCAATTTTTAACTAAAATCTTACCAGTGGAAATCTTGTAATAAAATTTTCACAACACGTATATGTTGCCGCAGAACATCATTCTCTATTGATATATGAAAAAAAAAGATAGGTCACCGATTTCGCTTTTGAGATATAATTTTACAAACAATTTTATGGCTAAAATAAGCAGCTTTATACTTTCCTCATGGCAGGGACGTCGCTACAGGTGTGTGTGTGCGGGGAGGAGAGGGGGGGGGGCGTAACACACACCCAATAATTCAAAACGGTCAAAGTTGGTCAAAATGGAACTAAAATTTGCTTAAAATTGAAGGTCAAAGTTGGTAAAATTTGGTCAAAGTTTGAGATAAAATTATGAAATCGTTCGCAATTTTAACAATTTCTAAGCTTTGGTCATGTTTGCGTGGAAACAATTGCAAGCCTTGCTTATTTTGGTCGAAAAATATTTTAAGCTTTGCTTATGTTAGTCCGGAAAATTTTTGACAACCCCCCGTCGACAACATTTTCGGCAAACATTTCTGCTACTTGGTCAAAATTCTAGGAAAAGTTGGTCAAAACATGACGACCCCCCCCCTCCCCCAATGTTGATGTCTTCACGACCTCCCTGCCTCATGGTACCATGCACGCATGCATGGCAACAGCGACATTGTCAAAACTGAGTTCTAAATATTCTAAAACTGTCTGTACCAGTGTAGGTAGTGCCAATGTGAAAATGCTGTGCTGAGTGGTTATATTACTACCTTAAAAAACAAGCAGAAGGCGTTTCGAGCGAAGGCCCTTCGTCAAGAGTTAGTAGCATGAACTGCTACTAACTCTTGACGAAGGGCCTTCGCTCGAAACGTCGAGTTTCTGCTTGTTTTTTAAGGTAGTTCTAAATATTCCACTTTTGTTGGATATTTCCTTCGTGTAGAAACGAATGCAAGATCAGCATTAATAGGCCCGCACTGCAGATATGTCCGGGGAAATATACGCGCAACTGGAGAGATCCTCCATTAGATCATTTTACCCAATTTTTCTCGTTCATTCAAAATTACAGTTTTCGTCAGTTTAAATGACAAAAAATTCGTTGCTTTGTATAGCGGTCTCCGATCCATGCGATCTGATTATTGTGTTTCATGTCAAGAATCCAAGCAGACGTATGGTAATCAGGTGAGGTTTTATCTCATGCGCAAACGTGTGCATTGGTGTATACAGCTATATTTCAATTAAGGTTGTCCACGAGCAAAGCGGAAAAGTCGAAAACGAGCGCGAAATGCTGCTGGGAATCGCTAACAAATTAATGAATTTTCAAAGCGGTTCCCAGCAGCCTGTCGCGCTCGTATTCGACTTTTTCGCTTTGCTCGTGGACAACCTTAATTGAAATATCTGTAGATATTTTAAAATAGATTTGTTTTATAATCCTTCTTTGAGATGTAAGAAACTATCTTTGCAGGCTGAATCTATGGTATCCACTGGGAGTGTGATATTGGAGGAGAGGTGAGAAATACTACTTCACAGTGTGATAATCTACAAGCTCAAAGTAAACAAAAGTGCTGGTGAATTGGTGAATTTTCATGCCCGCGTTAGCTCAAAAATAAATATTTTTTAATCTCCTCTATATAACAGGAGCCGTCAGTCTTTTTCCACTGGCCCATTTCAAGGCTCTCGAACGTCTGAAAACAAGGTAGGAAATGATATACTGCAGAGTAGCTGTGATCATTTGATGAAAAGATTTAAGAACGAGCCGTCGACAATTGATTCCTTGACCTGCATGGTCAAACTGCGTGCAGAAATCAACGGGATTGAACACCAAATGGAGCAAAAGCCATCCAGTCACGATTCATCACAGTCAATAATAATTAGAATACTCCGATCCGTTTTCTTAGGTTCGGGAATTATGCTGTTCTCCATGATTTCTATTGACTTAACGTTAGCCTTTATTCAAATGACCTAGAGGGGAATAACCAGACACAAACGGACGACCTAAACTAAATTATTAATTTCTTTATGTTCCGCACAACAGACATCAGATCATGCAATACATGAATGGTTCACGACAAAACCTTTTTGTTTACAGACTCATTCTGTTACCAGTGCAATTACAATGGAAAGCACTCAGGAAAGGTGAGAAATTTTAGAAATTAAATATTCAAGCTACGCTATTCACGTGACACTATATCGTAGTGCATGCACGTATAGATGACGTTTAACCTTTTGTTTTAAAAGTTTGAAAATTATTTTAGACGCGCGAATATGAAATATGTATCGCTGGGCATTCTAAACAACAATAGAGGTCTCCTACTCTGGAGATTACTGGTACCTTACTTAAAAAATAGGTACGCAGCGCGTACATGTGACTACCGCTCTGTCTGTGTCACCTGAGTGGTGTCACGGATTTAGCTGGTAGAATAGTGCTAATCAGTTGTTGTAGTGTAGCCGGAAAGCGTGTAGAACTGGCGAAGAGAAAATATGTTAAGATTAGTTGAAAACACACTCTTCAGAGCAAATAAAACAACTTTCGGATACTTTGTCGCTTTACTTAAATGTTGCCCAGATAATTTTGTGATCACTAAAATAAGTTTCTAAAATGCCTGAATTAACAATTTGGACGTTGTGCATGTGAGCTATAAGCTGTAAGCTAAACATAAACCTACAAGAAAGCATGATATAAAACAGCAATTAACGCAGTTCACATCCACAAATATTACATGTTACTTTTAAAATACAGAAATTGCATTTGGTTTTACAACACATCAGCCGTATTGATTAACTGCAAACGTCATAAAATGTAAGCGATCAATAATTATTAAGACGTGCAAAGTCTAAAAACACATCAAAATGTAAACAAAACAATGCACATATAAAAAAGCTAAGTTAATTCAGATAATTTGCATTTGAATTGAAAAAGGTTGCCAGAAAGGTTGCCGATAAATAACGAAAGCTGCCGAGTGTGACGTACATGCTTGTGTGACGTAGTGCTGAGTGTGCGTAGAATGGTCTACGACAAGCATTTAAAAAAGAAAGCAAGCAATCAAGCAAGCCTCTGTCAGTGGATAGTCACAAAAATTCACGGACGATGACTGATAAATGCGCTCGTGTTCCTCCCGTGAAAGAAGGATGTTCAATTCTACCCAATACCAACTTTAAACTAATACTTACGTATTCATTTCATTCTGTGTTAGAATTCCTACGTAATATTTTTTAAGTATCCATGATGTGAAGGTAAAGAGACGTAACATTTTGCGAGAAAAGTTACTGAAATGGAAAATTGGTGAGAACAATCACGTGGTACCATTACCAAAGTGTGTTCTTTCGCCCTATATAACGAAAGTTATCGATGGGGAAACTCTTACTCAAGTTGCCAAGACAAAAGGCAAGATGATAAGTATAATACCATGATTAAAAAATACAAAGAATTATCATAGATTGACTTCAAATCGCATTTAAAAGTATTACTAATATCTGCATGTTTTCGAACGCTAATTGAACAATTCGTGCATGCTACATATTTTAATGCAGCAATAGTCTTTAAAATTTCGAACAGCTAGCGCTTTGCAGTTCACCTCGAAATACGATTTGAAGCTTGTCGTCGGTTGTTAAGGGTCCGCTGTAATCGTCAATCTTATTCCTTCTTCCCCGGAGAGTGCGTGTTAAAATAGAGGTTTTGCTTTACGAAAGAAATATATAGTAAAACAACGTGAATTTGCAAAGAAAATAATAAATCCAATCAACAAACGTATGTGCATCAATTTTGTTGTTAGCTCTAGCTGTCCACAGGAATTTGTTTGCCTCCACAAACATTTTGTAACCAAAGTGGAAACTATATCAGAAACGCAACGAATCCTGATATGTGTAGATGTACTCTGACCTGAACGATTTGAAAATTATTTAAATGAATGAAGTTTGCAATCCACGGTGTCATATCATATATACTGCCTCATTTGCAGGCTCTTCTATTTGGCACATATTAGTATACCATATTCGATACAGTTTATTCGGCGTGGCAAAGTAAGGCAAGACAAACTTTTGCTAATTTCTCGCACAATTTTTGTCCAAATCTGAATAAATTTAATCAATTCGCCCTTGCGAAATGTCCATAAGTCACATAAATTTCGTATTAATATGTTGACACTTTTTAAGCTGTCGAGTTTACTAACACACGCACGCACGCACGCACGCACGCACGCACGCACGCACGCACGCACGCACGCACGCACGCACGCGCATGAACGTCGTTGAAAACATTGCTACATGCATGACAAAGTTAACAAATTAAATTAGCAAGTGTTTTTATCTTTCAGATGTAATCTACTATGCTGATAAAAATGGCTTACTTGGGAAAGGTGGTTTTGGTGCCGTGTTCAAAGGTTATGCCATAAAAGGAACTGAGAAAACACCGGTAAGATTTACATCATATAGGTTCTGTGCAAAAAATCATGTAAGAGAAGAATTAGTCAGGAAATAGGACGTCAGTGGATATTATTTAAAATGACCAGTTTCCCGAGCGTGTCGCTATAGGGTTGCCAACTTTATCATGCAGAGCTCACAGTTAATGTAATTAGAGAGAACCCAAATTCAGTTAATCAAATCCCGGTCAATCGGCTATAAATAACCTGTCAAAAAGCACCCTAAAATAGTAAGGCGGAAGCGAAAGGCCGATGAGCTAGACTATAATGCTATTAACTATCTTCATTTCAGGTTGCTGTCAAATTTGCACAATATAGCAGGGTTCCAGAGTATTACAAGGTAAAGAATAGTTTTACGTATAAAATAGATATGATTACATTTTAATAAGTCGGACATATCAATCTCACTTTGGGACATTTATGTTTGAAGACTTAGCAACCTATTCCCGATCACGTTCTGATTGGTAGAAAATAAATTTTTCTGCCTTTTCTAAACCACATACTGTAGAAACAGTTACAAACGCACCACAAGTTTTGCAAATTATACTACTTCAAAACATCCAAAGCTAAATTCTTCGAAGAATCTCGTTCGGTGCCAAATTTGTTGGATTTTGAGGTTTCTAAATCTCGGATATTTCACTATCTTTTTAATTAACTTAAGGCGCGTTTACACTATATGACGCTATGGCGAATTTACCGCAGCGTAGTGATTTGCATCCGGAGTGCCAAACGTAGCTAGTGATCTGTAGTTAATACGCCACGGTAAACCGCAAACCACTCCGTTATAGTGTTAGTGTAAACACAATATAGTCTCAATACTAGAGACGCAATAAATTTTTAACGGAGCCCGTAGCGTCATAGTGTTCTCGTTCCCAGCTTGGTATACAAGTTGCCAACTTCAATGTTTATTGCAGTTCTTTCGAGTTTAATGACAGAATGACAATGTGCAAAAAGTATACATCCCTCAAAGTGCATGTAAACACACATGCATTTACGTGGGCGATTGCAAGATTGGCCAAGTTCCGTTAAAGACTAGCTATGTAATGTTACCAGTTATTTTCAGTGGCGGCGCCAGGGGGGGCAAGGGGGGGCAAATGCCCCCCCCACA